ACACAGTCTCCCCCACCTCCACCTCCACATACAAAGAGAATTGTTCAAGGTCTCCACCTGCACTGCTATTCACTCTCATGTTGCACAGGAGGTCTTGGATCACACTATTTCAGAGAAGACGATGGATCTGTCATAGAGGGAAGGAAAAGGCTCTGCCTAAAAATACTGAATCAGGTTGCAGCGCCTCAGGCTTGTATTGTTCCTACTAAATATTGGCCAATTCTTCAATTTTCAATTTGTCTTCTAAAATACTGAACTGACAAAAGCGCCCACTCTCAATTTCTGCTAGCTATTATGACCATGCCCCATTGTCCGCACCCTGAAACACACATTGATACACAAACCCACACACACACCCTCGTACAGACACTCTTAATTTCCACAACAAATGAAAGGGGACATCTTGCAGAGAAACTCTCTCACACATTCGCACCCATATGCTGTATGTATCAGTATAAAGGATACAGAGCCTTGAATGGATTTTCACATCAGAGCTCTTCAATCAAACGAAAAACGTCATGATAATCGTGACGTTTGAAGTGCATAAATAAACAAAAGACATTCATTGAGTTCATTGAAGTCACACAGGCTACGTGGGATGAAACTGAACCGGACTGTACAAAACAACAGTTAACAGATTAGTTCGGTTGAATCTCTCATTTCAAGACAATCAGGTCATAAAAGTTATGTTTGAAGTTAAATTATAGGCATGCTTCCATTGAATTTATGAACACTATCAGATTTCCACAAACCCTTTGTAGTTCTTAGCAGTTGGGATGGTTGTCATTCGATTAAGAAAAGCCATTCTTCAAACACATCTCAGTTGTTTGAAAAAGTAGGCTAAGTAAACCGTATGACCCAAAGTCCTCCGAGAGATATTTCTAGAAGATGAGAAAATATCGTTCAAAGCAAAGTGTTGAAAAAACCAGCATATGCTGGTTAGGTATGTTTTGAAGCTGGGATGCTGGTTTGAGCTGGTTTAAGATGGCCCTTTGCTGGTTTATGCTGGTCCTTTGTTGGTTTATGCTGGTCCTTAGCTGGTCATGTGCTGGTCCGACCAGCTTAAGACCAGCACATGACCAGCTTAAGACCAGCAAAGGACCAGCATAAACCAGCAAAGGACCAGCTTCAAAACATACATAACCAGCATATGTTGGTTTTTTCAACAATTTTCATTCACTGCCAAAATTTCACAGCAGGCTAAGTATTCAGCACAAAGGCGTCATGCCCATTCATTCATTCACCTGCCCCCTCAGATATTTGAGCCAAATGGATTTTGAATGCAGCTTTCAAAAGACAAAAAAAATAGCCGATTAATATTTTCTATATTTAATACAATCACACCGGCGTGATTAGAACGTTCAGCGCGTCATATCATCAGCTGCTAAATTCAAATCTGCGTTCGCTGGCTGGCGCTTAGCCAGAGACAGACGCCTTTTACAGCACTGCGCATTAACCAATCACACACGATGCTGTTGAGCTTGTGAATGCAATCACCAATCAGAGGTGTTCAGATGAGTCATCGCTAAAATGCCGGTGTTTTCTTCACTCGCTCGCTGACTGAATACCTCTTTCTGGCGAATTCTCTTGTCAGAAACAACAAAGTGCAAATGTGTGTACGAATCTGTAAGATATCAATTTCTTAGTGTAAACAGCTTCAGTGATTTTAATGGGAGTTTTTGAGAGTGCGTGAACTAAACTGTCAGTGAAATTGTTCTTTGATAATGTAAATGTTCTTTGCTCTAGATCAATATAAAGGTGAGAATCAAGATATTTCATGATATAGTTAATGTGTTTAGGGATGTTTCGAATAAAAATAAAATAAAACATAAGTGCTGTTGTGGCTGCTGTGTGTCACATGACGACCCCCCCTCAAAAATAATGAGAGCATGAGGCCCCTGATTCAGCATGTCCATAAATCGTGCCAACTATATTTGAAGCAATTTACATTTGAATTTTCAAACAATTCCATGAACATCTAGTAACTTTTGACATACTGTATATATCCTTGGTGCTCCCATTTTTATTCTCATTCCATTTCTCTTTCCCTGAATGGATTTTATTTGTATCTTGGATAATACAAGGCAAGATACTCAGAAACAGGTAAAAGAACAAAAGAAAAGGTGTAGCCCTCGCCCCCCTCACTCCAGTGCCTTGCTTTTCACCAGAGACAGCAAATCCCCTCAGAAAAACAAACTTACGTAACCGCACGGCGCACCTGCAGTGAGTACAGAAGAGAAAACTTGAAAGCAACAGTGTTTGAATGGCTGGACTTAAAAGACGTCCTAAACCAACTGTCATAATATGTAAAGCAATATGGACATGATTCATAAAACTTTCATCTGTAATTGTTTAGAATTCACCTCTTCCATCGATTCTGTCATGAGTTTTGAGTTTATTTTAATGACCGTAAAAAAAAAAAAAAACTCCAGATTGTGACCTTGCATGCTTCATTCACTATAAGGGAATGTCTCATCTAGCTATGATGAAAGCCAAGCCAGCATAAACAGAACAGAAGGGAAACACTCATGCAACCCTTTGACCCTTCAGTGTGTCCACATGTTGGACGTTGAGGTTATCTGTGGTAATGCTTTTAGCTTGGAATTTCTTGCCACCTAGTGGACAAAAAGGGACGTACTGTAAATTATATGCAAATATGGAGTCATGTGTGTATTTTCACAGACTATGAAACTACTATATAAATGATTTGATCTTCACAGAGATAACTGAATAACTGTGGATTAATTGAACTGAATTTGGACTAACCTCCTTAATGCAAATTTGTATTCATAAAAACTTTACTGTATATTTACAATGCCTTTTTTAATTCTTAGTGGTTTCATCTATTGTTTTTTGAGCTGCATGTCTAGGGCATTGTCTATGATACACCTACTGAATTGATTGTATTTACTTTTCCACTCCTTTTCCCCATCCTTTGTTACTTATCTACTATAAGTTTGTTGACACTATTAATAAGCCCTCAATGCGTTCACATGTGTGTCCTTTCATTGCTCTCTCTTACTGCCAACATGTGACATTAAAGCAGTGAACATACAGTGTTGCTGGTAAATAATGATAACGGTAAGTTTATCCTCGTTCTCCTTCATTGAAACAATAATTATGTTAGTCTAGTATCTATGTATTTCAAAAAATTGCATATTACAGTTTTTCTTGATTGCTAGCACAAAAATCTTAAAACTACACACCAACTTGTACAAACTTCAATCTTTGTCAAATATTTTAGCCAAAAACATATTCTCTTTTGTCATGATCCAACTTTAGCTTAATATGATAAAGAATTCTAGTGGGATCAATTTAAAAACTGGTGTATGAAGTTATCTGATATATAAACTCGCCTTTGTCACAAATCACAGCTGTTTAGGTGACATTACAGCTCTGTTGCAAAACCTAGTTATTGTGTCAGTTAATTGGCCAATGCTACCAAAATGAATGATATGACAATGTGTCAGGCCCTACATGTAAACAGAAAACATTCCATGTTTTTTCATGGAATATACATGTCTGTCTGACATAATTTTATGGATGATTTTGCATGTAGTAGCCTATGACAGTTTCACTGAGAATCAGCTCATCAGTTTTGAGCAAATCATGTACAGTTAGTTATTGTGTAAATTGCAGACAAATTGCAAATTGTATATACTCTTTTGCACAAAACATTTGCAATTTTTCTTGAATGAATAAGAAAGTCAAATCCGAAGTGAACAAGAAACGAATTGTTCAGAGATTTAAATTTATTGTTTTGAGAGATAGAGAGAGAAAAACAATATCTTTCAAGAATTAAGCCAAAGAGACTGAGAAAAACTGTGGCAGCTCTATTCAGTATAGGATTATACAGGTTTTATTTAAGAGCAGGCAGTATAAAAGTAGTTGGAAAAAAGGTAATCACTTTGATCTATCTATCTATCTATCTGTCTATCTGTCTGTCTGTCTGTCTGTCTATCTATCTATCTATCTATCTATCTATCTATCACTGAGTGGGGCATTCAGTAAATTACTGTAGCCTACATCACTGATAGTGAAATGTAAAACATCTATAGTCAAGCTTTTAAATTGGTAGACCTAATGTAATTATGTTCAACATTTAAATAAAACCACTTTTAAAAACGATTTCTTCTCATCTAATCGATGATTGAAGGAATCACGCATGATTTTAATTTAAAACGTTAGCCTACACCTCTCAACACCATTGTTGTATTATAAACCAATAAAAAAATAGCCCAAATGTGTCACCCTATATATACCATCAAACATGTAGGCCTAGGCCTACTCATTATCAAGCAATCACCAACAGAGGGCACAATTGCACTATTCTCTCTTCGATTTGTTGACAACAGACATCTGTCTGTCTGTCTGTCTGTCTTTCTGCCTGTCTTTTCCATATCTTTAATATTATTTGAAAGGTTATTGTGTTTTAAATTTGAATATGGAAGAGCCTCTTAAAAACATGGCATTTCAGTTTTGGTTGAAACTATCCTTTTAAGGCTCAACACAAACCACACCAAAATGTTTAGACATTTTGCATAAAGTTTGTATAACATTCTTTTGCCTTGTCCAAATACCCACACTTGCGGTCTTTGCACTTGACCACTTGAACACTTATATGACGTATTTCCTGTATTTGGCCCAAGTGTTCAAGTGAGGATGAAGACCACAAGTGTGGGTATTTGGACAAGGCATTTATCACCGAGAGGTGTAGATGCGCTTGCTCAGTAGATGCCTATGGAAGGTCATCATTTCCATAGTTTGTCACGTGACCTACCCTGCCAGCAGCGGTCCCATAGACTGTATAAAAACATGGACGTAGTGTCCGTGACGTCACCCGTAGGGTTCCGAAGATAGTTTTTGAAGCTCAAAGTGGGCGGAGGCGGCCGTCGCCATCTTGGCAGCGCATCACTGCGCCGGTCCACAACAGGCTGTACTGGCAGATCACGTGACCAGCTGCCAGCCAGGATCGAACTGTAGGCTGCTCTCTGACGTGCTGCTTTGCGCTCCTCTCAATACTGTTACATGCAGCTATTGTATTCGCCACGGGATTTTAGCTATTCGCTTCGCTTTACCTCCCATGTTTCCAGCGACGAAGGAATGAAGAGTCTTTTCAATTAAACGGTAATATACATATATATATATTTTTTTTCCAATTATGGGGATTTTATTTATGAATTCGCTATTATAGCATTCGGTTCTCTGTTTATTCTCACTGCTCCTGAATGTTGCATACCATAACAGTGATATTATGCAAGATCCAATATAGCCACAGAAAGAACTGCAACGACACAACAGAGTGTAATTTTAAGTGATTCTCATTATAATGAATTATATGTAGCCTATTATAATTATATGTATAAATTACTATAATTTTGCAGCTGGGCTGTGAGCGTTTTGAAATCCACCACATTTACCAACATCTCGGTTATTTATGTCGCCTGTTTTAAATTAATTCAGTCGATTTAAATCAAAATGCACGTATAATTGGTAGTTATTTTAAGAACCAGTTTATGAAAATGCACGAGAGAAAGCAATAGAGTCCATTCACTTTCAGCGGATTTAAATCGAAGCTGTTTACAAACATTCCCTCTTGATCACAGCTCTGAATTGCATCCTTCAGTCTGGTGCAGTTCAGGTGATTCGTTTATGGAATCTCCGTATTCCAGACACATCTCTGATGCTTTCCTTTGTGTCTGCATTTCTACATTCTCTTTCTTCTTTCTTAATGGCAGGTTTACATGCACACTTTCTTTTATTGTTTTTGATTGGGTGGTTATGTTTTGGTTCCTTTATTCTGCTTTACTGTTTGGCGGTGCTAGAGATGCACTCATTCATTATAGTGGAATATTATGATTTTAGAGGAATATTCCTTTATAATCAGCATATTATGAATAAACTGCTATTATTTGGAGTTACCAGAAATGCACTCATTCATTAATTGTCAGTCATATCCTTAAAAATAACACACAGTATAGCACTATAAAATGCAATAAGTAGAATGTAGAAACTGGATTATTGGCTTAATCTGGTTAAAAATTTACACACATAACATTTACATAATCAGAATACGATGTGGTCTTCTTTAGAATATCCAACATACTGTAACTGAATGTTTATATTTGTGCAAATCAAAACAAAGGTAATTCTGGTAAATTTTAGATAAAGACAGTGAGAAGCCAAGCTATTTAGGAAAGACATTGTTTTCATGGCCTACATCTTGCAATTCACTGTTCTTGTGTATTTTTATGATTTTATGAGTTGCTTAAATAATATCCAAAGAGAGAACATCTCCAGTGTTTCCATAAGAGAAAACATGGTCAGTGTATCTCTCTTTTTTCCATACACAAACATGCACACATATTTAGAGGGTAAATTATGCTGCTTTTGCCTTTCCACACACAGATGTTCAGTAGATGGAAGTAGGCCAATGACAGATCTGTGTGTAAGCTTTTGGGTGGGCTTCTTTGCAGATGTATTTTACAGTCATTTTGCCCTCATATTGCTCATACTGGCCTGTCTCATTTAGCTGTAGGTGAGAGCAGAATAACTTTTAAACATTTTAAACATGCACAGTCTCAAATGCAGCCTGTAAATAAATGTGTGTTAGTGCATGCTATTTATAATCCTTTAGTTAATTTTCCAAAATTGTTGTATTGTCTCGTATTTTAAAATATGGGATACACCTTTTCAGTGATGGTCAGAAGAGAGATTTCACTGAATTGTGTCCAGTTTTTTTGTACTCAGATGAACGTTCATACCAGTGTAACAAACTGATGTGGCTCTGTTTATGGATGGCTGAGTCACTGAATATAAACACTGCTCATCTGGCAGACATATAAACTGTTCACTGATAGGTGTACTTGTGTGTAGCCAGACTTTTGACTATGGCATAATGTCTGGTCCTCATTGCAATCTGGTCAAATCTGTTTAACAGGGAATACAGAAAAAATCTGACTTTCTGAGTGAGGACAAAATACGATACAACTTCACTTTGTTTCCAGGTTTTAACTGGTGATTTCAGTCATTTTTGGGTGCAATCAGACAGTCAGTGAATGGATTGTGGGAGGTCTGTGGGTGTGCTGTCTGAGACTGAGACTAGACTGCACATTATCTTCTGTTGTTTTTTTTGTTGATGTCATAGGGATTAGTTATTCTTATGAATCTGTTTATGTATGTTTCGCAGTCTTTTTCCTAAAACATTAGAGACATCCATTTTTTTAATCCATTTACTCAGAACTGATATATAAATATCTGCTACTGTGACACTGCATTGCTTAAAACCTTCTGTAAAGAGTTGGTTCACCCAAAAATGAAATCATCGTTTACTCACCCCCATTTCATTCCAAACACGTAAAACTTATTTTTCATCTTCAAAACACAAATGAAGATATTTTTAATACAATTTCAATGAACTATTGAAACTATAGTCCATTCAACCAAAACTTTGACGTTTCAGAAAGTTCATAAAGACATTATAAAAGTAATCCATATGAATCAAGTGATTTGTCTTTTAAAGTCAAGTCAAGTCACCTTTATTTATATAGCGCTTTTAACAATACAGATTGTGTGTAACTGTAAATCCTGTGATTTTAAAGAGAAACTATGATGAACAGATTTAATTTAGGCTTTTATTTACAAATAAACATTGGTCAGTGCTCATACATGGAGCTCATCGAATATTGGCAACATGGAAGCTCAACCGTACTCAGTTGATATATAAGAATAACCCTCATTAGTTCTTGTGGCAGCTCAAATGTGGAATAGACTTTCAATTGAAGGACAGCAATCTCTCAAGTTTCACTGAAAATGTGTGTTTTGAAGAGGAACAAAAGTCATACAAGTTTGGAAGGACATGGTGCTGAGTAAATGAACACAGACATCCCTCCCTTTAAGCCAAATAATGTTTTTAAGCACCACATTTTCCGCTGTTGAATTATGCAATGCTAACTCTTGACTGTCAAGAATAATGGTTATAATTATTTGTCATTAGGATGAGCTAGCTAATTTATCTATTCTGTTGTCAGACCACAATTTGCCTAAAGGCCATTTTTGCAGTAGATCTCTGTGGAAAGATCTCTGTTGCTTGGCCAGCTATTGTTTTTTATTGTAAATAAAATAAAATAAATAAATAATGGTTATTGCATATTGAGCTTTTTATCCACCCCCATTACCCATAATTGTTATCCACATGGCCACAGCTTTATCAGTCAGTGGCGGTGACATTAAAGGGGTCATATGATGCTGCTAAAAAGAACATTATTTTGTGTATTTGGTGTAATGAAATGTGTTTATGCGGTTTAAAGTTAAAAAAACACATTATTTTCCACATACTGTACACACTGTCTTCACTGAGATTTATCTAAATCAGCTAGTTTAATTTCAAGGCTTTCTTTTGTTAAGTTTTATTTTTAAGTCTTTTCCCTGTAGTATTGAGAGCTACTGTAGAGAAGTGGGGCAGGAAATGACAAGGGAGAACAGGCTGAAATTACTGTTCTCCCTGTCTCAAATTTGTATCAGATTTAAACTTGCATCCCCTGAATGAGCAACATAGCTCAGTTCATTGGATGCTAGGCTATGACTCTGACCTCTATTTAGTCTTTTTTAATTCACTATAGTGATTACTTTGTGTGCTCTCTGTATTGATCTCACACAAGGGTTGATGCTGAATAGTGCAGTAAATACTGTAGTAGCAAAGAGACAGTTACTGTAGGTCACTGATATCCTTATTGTCAGGGTTGTTCTTGAGAGTAAGAAATCACTGAAGCAATGTAAAATAACTGTGGAGTATGGAGTGCTATCTGCTATGTATTAAACCTGCTCAATTTTAGCAAAAAATCTAAATCGGTTATTTTCGTCAGTGCTGAGCTCATTTTTATTTTACACTCAAAAATGCTCATTGAATCTAGAAGCATAATGCATTTATTTAAAAAAAAAAAAAAAAAGATTTCTCTGAACTTTATGATTCAACTAAAACAAATAGTTAAATAAAATAGTACATTTATTTTTCAAATGTTTTATAAAATGTGTACCTTAAATGCAGTGGAGAAGAAAAAAATTAAATAAAGGCATCTGCCGAATGCATCAGTATAAATGCGATATAAATAAATACTCCAGAGGCTGTAATAATTTACAAATGTAAGCTTTACACCAGATTCTGCCTAGCACATTATTTTATAAGTTTACACATTGTACAGGGCTGTATGTTAACTTTATGTTTGCACATAGCACTGGTGCTACAGAGGTTGAAAGTTTTGTAGCGTAGGCCACATAAATGTAGCACTGTGACAGACATCACTTAACTCTTTCATGCGCAAACCAATAGGAATTGTGGGAAATGGAGTTGGATATATGGACTCAGTGCAGTCAAGACATTATTTTTTAAACCATTAGACTACCAAGTAAAATACAGTGGCAGTGGCCTATCGATTTCACACCACACACAAACAAGCACACAGAAATCCTTGCTTCAGAAAAGTAGCTCTGTCTCTCACACACATGCAAAACTGTATCACATACTACAGGCCATTGTACAGGCCGTTTTACTTAGCATGTCCGACATACATGCTGCACTTTACAGCCCTGTTATAAGTTCAACTACACTATTTGCATCATTTTGTGCAGAAGCCTGTGTATGTAGAGCACATGCATTAACCACTAGGCCATGGCTCCAGCATGAGACGTAGTTTTCATTACAGTTTGGTTCATATTAATGTAGCTATTGCACATTTCCTTCCTTCAACCACTTAAAGTGTTACCAGATGTTTTTTGCATGCTTCAGGTTTTGGAGATTCTTATTAGTATTTCCTCTCCAGGATTTGTTTTTCCATCAAAGGTATCCTTACCTCTGTGGGGGAGGTGTTCATATTATATAATATATTTTTGTTTATTTAAAAAAAAATGCCCTATATATTTTGTGTAAAACTGGGAACTGGTACCATTCCAGCATACTACTACTCAGTTACCAGTCACTCAGATGTTAACACTTGTCACTGCCATATGCTTGTGCTCAAACAAAACGACAGCACTGAACTCAAGTACATTAACCAAACAACTTGCCACATTAATAATCGGTCTTGGTGTTGCCCCCACTGTGTGTGTGTGAGACTCTCAGTCAAGACAAGGCTCCCTCAGTGTGTTGAAGTGCTCTACATCTGTGAGCAAGTACGAGGCAGTGACGGCCCACCCAGATGGCAGTGCGAGTGATGCCAATTGTCTTTGCTCAACCACTGACAACTGCTCTCCCCCTGACGACTGTTACTCTCCCCAGCTCTAAATGTTTACCTTTCCCTTTCACATCGGAACAGTAAATGTCAACAGGGCAGACCTATGTGATTATCCGAATTAGAACTCTTTCCTCAAACAAAAAGCGTCATACTGTCCAGTCTTGGCTTTGCTTAAACCTTGACCTCTTTGTTTTCTTGCATAAAGGGAACCACTCACTGTAGTCTTTTTTTCCATATTCACACAGTTTGGTCCTCAGATTTCGGTGCACGCCCAGGAGCCTGGCCAGCAAGGCCTGATGTCACAGTTTGAAATGAGTCTCGAAGGTGTAGTGCAATGTTTTGAGAATGAGAAATATTTGACTTGAAGCCCTTGTGTTTGTGTTAATCTCCTCCGCCAAACTGAATGAATATGTGACAAGCTTTTAAAAAAAATAAAATAAAAAACCCTTATATAAGTTTCTGCCTACAGCTCTGGGCCAGAAAACTAAAATATAGTGACAGAGTTTTCAAATCAAATTCGGATAGTCTTTTGACTTTTTGTCAAAAGACTTTTGACTTTTTCCCTTGTACTTGACTCCTAAACAGAGTTGGAGAAGAGCGGCAGTCAGGCCTAAAATGGAAAGTCCAGATTAATTAAATAGGCACTTTTGCACTGACAAAAGCGATCAAAATAAAAAACCCACCCAGTCTCCATTCAAACAAGAACATAATGTCTTGGCCTAATTTCTGTCATACTTGTTCTTCAGGAATAACTGAAACTAAACTCTTTGATCCAATGAATTCAGCAAGTAACTCTGCTGAATTCTTTCTGTGTTTGATCACAAGAAGAAATTGTTACATAAAAGTGTCTTTTTTATTTTGTCAATAAATAATAAAAACTCAATAAAGGTGCATTCTTCCAATGAGCCTAGGTTGAATCTTATTGAAATTTCACTTGAGTGAACAGAATGGCACATACACAAGTATAATAGGGATACAAGCCGGTGGTAAAATTTGACATAATGTACTTCGTATATTTTTAGAAATAGTATACTATAACATACAGCAGAATGTATATCTTTTCTGCGAAAGAGTTCTGATGATGTTTACTGTCAGCTGATTGGTCTGTATGAAATGCTTGCTCATCATTGTCCCCAGTAAGGCGTCCCTCTCTCTCTCTCTCTCTCTCTCTCTCTCCCCTTGAAAGGGGGATGGTACACAAATCGACCAACGGAGCTACTAAACCACAGTTTTTCTTCTCTCATTCTCAAGTCAAATGCAGCAGTCCAATCTTAAAAAGCAGATAGTTTTCACGTCACAACATTATATTTAAGATTATTTAAATAATATTGCAACAAGGTCCCTAAAGCCCCTCAGAAAACATCTGCCGTTGCCTTGTTGACACCTCACATTTGGGAGGCAGTGGAAATGCATTTCTCAGATATTCTGTTGAAATGAATAGTAGGTTGCATGCGCACCACAGTACATGCAAATGCCTTGTGTGATTCTGCAGGGATTTGGTTGAAGACATGCAACAATTCACTAAAAAACTATATTTTAATGGTAAGATTTTTTATTATTTTTTTAATGATAAGAAACAAACAATCAAGACCCTTATTTCATTATTTGGGTCAGAGAGAGGGTGGAAAATAGTTCAGTGGATGTCAAGGGAAAAAGTATGTGGTCCCTTTAAGGCACACCAAAGATGGATTGTATGGTGAATATAAGGTATGAGAATAAAGCTAGGCTGAGTCTCTGTGGCAGCCCAACAGATTCGACTAACAAAAAACACACACAAACTGAGGTTTGGATTGGAAATACCTCACAGAATACAGAATTCCTGCTGGATAGCTTAATTCATCTAAAGCATATGTTATATGTATATGTTATAGTGTATATATGGTATGATTGACTGGACCATTACATTTAAATATTTGCAAATATGCATTGTTCTGAGCACTCGCACATCTTGAGGTTTATAATCTGGGGTTTCATCAAAGATTGCATAACCTAATCCTTTAACTGTTTGCTGCAAGGGTGACAGATGACTGATTTCCTCAGGAGAAGGAAGGATTTTAACGCTTATCCTTATGGAAGTGGATTAGGGTGTCTGACAGATAGATATAAAAACATTTTTTTGACGTCTTGGTTTATTTATGTGAGTCTGGGATAAGGCCAGCTTATTTAGATTTCAAATCAGTTTCTTTGAAGGTGACTCTTTTGTGTGTGGGTTTAAGGGGTCATGAACTGCCTTTGTTTTTTTGTACTGTTTTCTGATGTCCATCCAAGGTTCTCAAGATTTTTACATAAAAAAATACATTGTCTAGAGGTAATAGGCTATTTTCTGTCCTGTTTTGACCCCCCCCCATCAGAACACTCCCTTTGAATAGGTGATTGTAGACTCAGAAGTAAACGCCCACTGCTATGATTGGCTAACAGTTGTGTATGTTTGACAGCCTACATCCTACACAGATGGACACTGCTGTTTTTTAGGTTAAAAACGTACAAATACTCAGTACATATCAAATGATCTGTAATAACATACAAAGCAATAGTGACCACGTAATAAAAACAGTTACTGTCTGATGTAGTCGGCACAGCATCATCTTTTAGTTTCAATCTTTCTGAAAATCTTGCATGGAATTGTGCCTAGTTTGTAAACGAATCCGTGGTAAAATGAAGTGAACAAACAACTTGGCTCAGATTTCTTACAGGTGCGATCTGGAACTAGTTAATTCACTCTTTCCTAATGTTGGGATCAGAAGGAAGGTAATGCAAAGACTGTTTTTCCACAACTTGGCACTACACAGCATTTTGTTGTCTTTAGAGTGATCTTAATCGTTTGGTTTCTGCGTAGACCTGCATTTGCCTCTCTCGTCATATACACTACATGTGTGAATTGGTGGGCAAGGGTAAACAGGCAGTGATGTAGAAGCAGGTGTTGATCTTATGCGGAGGCGGTGTTTAGCCACACTATTACATCATAGAGTGGCACATTCCACAGTCGTTTTGGCAGATTGGCTTCAGTATAAGCTGTTTTTAGACTAACAAGAAAGTTTTGAGTTCTGAAACTTACAGGATGTTTTTATAGAAATTTGATTTCTCAGTTTGTTACCCCTTTAACAAAAATCCACAAAACTATACACAGAAATTATTTTACACTGAAAAGAAGATTTCATTTACCCAAAAGATTAAAGCAGAAAATAAAGTGTATTTAATAATCAAATATTTGATTATTTAATTATTTTGGTACATCAGTACAAAACCCTGTTTAAATTTCAACATCAATGACAAATTGTGTGTCTCTGTAAAAATTGATTATTGGATTATTTGGAGGCTTTGGGACTTATTAAAGTGTTGTTGTGCCAACATTTTTATGTAGTTGTTTTTAATGACTTACAATGGTTATGCCATAGACTACCTCAGCAACCCTTGTAACCCATTTTTTTAAACCGGCAGAGAGTGAGTTTAGTGAGAGGATATTCAATGTAATATAATGCCAGTGGGTGATGAGAAAAATGCTTAGTAAAGTTTTTTTTTTTCTTCAGTTTTTCAAACCGTGGTTTGGGGTTTTGAGTAAATGATTTTCTCATTGAGTAGTACAAAATTCATAAGCACAGAATTATTTCCTGTGGTTCTGCTGGTTTGAAAGCCATGGAAGCATAGTCTCTCTCAAACCATGATTGTGCCTGAAAATGCCTATAAACACTTATTATTGGGTTTTTAGGAAACACATAAATCAACTTCTCTGTTCACTTGTAGTCCTTGTGTCAGTACTTTTGTGACAGCCATATGATATAATAAACTCTAAGAAACAGTAAAAGTGATGGAAACATTGGGAAATGGAACAGTTAAGAAATTTGAAGAGGGCTATAGTGAGAAGAAGGACAGTATTTGTATATTGATGCCTGTCAGGAGTGTACTTCTGTGTAAATACATCAGCAAATGTCATCAATGGTACTGTACAAACACAACAGATGCACTTGTTTTGTTAATTTGGTGGTGAGGGCAAGTGACTTGTCATTCAAAGAAATACAGCACTGTGTTTTTAGTTTTAAATGTCAGATGGTATGATTTGGCGATGGGCTGGACATATTGAATATGACACATGATGGTGTGTCATGCAGCGCCGTGTCCCGCAGTGGGTGACTCTCTTGGTCGAATTCTATTTTTGTGTGTGCGACAGACTTAGCAGACACACAGCGCTCTCAGACAGCTGAAGCCTGGCAGGAACCTTTGTTCCCTTCTTCTGGCTCTGTGGTTCCCATGGGGCTAATGTTTCTGACACAGTCAAGGCCTTCATATGACCAACAGGATCTTCAAAACATTATGAGAGCTCAGGTTACCCAGTGCCAACAAGAGTTGAGTTTGGACCAGTTTCTCAGTCTGAATATGATGAATACGTTGCACTCATGACCAGTCTGGGTTTTTTCCTATTCCGCTGAGCGTTCTTCAAAGGAAAATTGACTCTATTTAATATTTATCTGTACAAATGTATAGCCCTTAACAAAACATAAAAATCTGTCTTTCAGACTGTTCAGCTTTTTGTCAGTATTCAGTTTTCTCCTTGTCATTAATTGTTCTTTATGTGCTATATTTCTAGATATTGACATGAAGAAGGACATAGAGGTGCTGATAGCAGAGGAACGTGCTGAGATCATCTCTAAATATAATAAGGTAAATTATGCCATTTACCCTTTGCATTTAAACTTTGTTCAGATATATATTGAAATAGTACAGATACTGTGATAGTTACTGTAACTTATTCAAGTTTGCCTATTTCCTTTGATGTATACATTCAGTTAATGACTTACTAATAAAAACGTCTTTGTGCTTGTTAAGTTCATTTTGGATTTGAGTGAAATATATATTCAATTCATCATTATTAAAGTAAGGACAAGTCTATCTGATCAAATGAAGTTAACCTTGATCAAAAACAGCAAATCTATTGGTTGTGAACACGTAGTGTAACATGGAAGCAACAAGGAAGCTGACTGGCCAATGCCATGTCATGCTCATGTCTGATAGAAGCAGGTGTGTCTGATTATCAGTGTGCGGAGGTCCTTTGTTTATGAAGTGCATACACTGCTCCTTTTTAAGCTGGTGCTGCTGGTTGTGAAACCGATGGAGAAAGATTGGTAAACCTGCACTGATGTAATCATCAAGTTTGGATTAATTTGCATGCCGAGTTCATTCATTCAAGAACACCTGGGAAAAGCCACAATGTTTTCATCAACTTTGAGACGCTACTGGTAGGACTATGAATGTTTATATATATATTTTTGATAAGTGATCTGTGAGCATACTAGCAAGTTTGTAGTCAATGTCCATGATTATGTCACTGCTGTGTTTTGTCTTTGCTTATATATATATAATTATATTTATATATGGTTTGTGTTTCCTGTATGGTTATTAAGCTAAATGATCTGAATGGAGCACTGAATTTATGCAAAGAAGATCAAGTTATTGTTATATATATATATATATATAACCATCTAAAAAGTTATAAGAAATGAATACTTATATTCAGCAAGGATGAAATTGCTCAAAAGTGACCGTAAAGACATGTATAATGTTACAAAAGATTCATATTCCAAATAAATACAAGTGTGTTCAACATGGATAATAGTAAGGAATGTTTATATTATATTAAAATTATTTCTGAAGAATCATGTAACACTGAAGTGATGACTGTTGAAAATTTAGTTTTGAAAATTCAGTATTAAAATAGAAAACTAAATTTTCTATAATTATTAAATTGTAATAATATTAAACAATATTATTGTTTTACTGATTTTTGATTGAATAAATGCAGCCTTGGTGAGCATAAAAGGCTTTAATTAAAAAAAAAAAATTGTCACAACTTTTGAACGGTAGTGTACATAATGCTGATCATTAGCCTATTTTTATCATTAACGGGAAATATTTCTTGTATGTTGCTGTATTACAGTTTGGCATTTCATTAATTAAATTTTTAATTAGCAATCAATCATCCCACACCTGCAGGTAATAGATAGGTGTGTAGGAAAAAAGACCAAAAAAGTGGTTGAAGATGCCTGATGAAGGTCATGAGACTGAAACATTTTCAGTAAATTATTTTGGTACTTTTGCAAGTATTGGGATTTTCAAGTGTGCAGGATTTTCTTTTGTTTCATAGTTTATTAATTTTAAATTTTGTGGATGGTTATTTTACATTGGGTTGTCTACATCTGGTTGTTCACATGTGCTGTGGCCTTTGTGGTTGAGTCAGGTCGGTTTTATTTGTATGGGGCTTTTTCGTAATACGTATTGTGGCAAGGAAAAACTCCCTAAGATATGTAAAGAGGGGAAAAATAGGGAGGAACCACACTCGGATGTTAAAGGCGATTTTATGTGCTAGGGCAGCAGACAGGATTTTTGAACCAACAAAGTGTTTGTGGAGTAAATGACCACCATGGTGATCAGTTTGACCATGGCACATCATGACATTCTCTTACAGACTCATTTGAAATTGGGAAATACTGGGACTGTAATCCTCGGCTGTCCGTCATGAATCACTGCTTCCTTTCCACTCTTCTCTCCACCATGGGGTTGAGAAGGGGGCAGGAGAGCAGCAGCCGTCCCCCTCAGGGAATCGGTGCACACCAACTGGAAAAGCTTTTAAACATCAGCTATACTGACGGTGCAAATTCTGATGAATAAGTGCAGAGCATTAAAATGTTCTCTGCTCATAAGTCAAAATTGCAACTATATGTCAATGGATGTATGACAGGAGTTGGGACACATTTGTTTGCATTTTGTAATTTCACTAGAATGGTTAGCAGGCCACAGAAAAGTGAAAGGGTAATGCGGTGAGCGACGTGCTAGAGAAAATATTGCTGCTGACGCTTTCCATAACTGCATCAATGTCACAGTTCTGTTAGTTTGGACTCGTCAGTTTGCTTTTCCCATTGTCATGGTTATTGATTTGATTTCGTCATTGGGTTCAGCTGTGTCTTATTAATGATCCTTGTTTGGTCTGTCTATTTAAATTGGTGTCTGTGCGCAGGGGCGTAGATCACGCGGGGGACGTGTCCTCCCCCCACTTTTAATATCACGTAAAATTGAAATTTTAATATCACGTAAAAAGATGCTCTGGATCGGCGTATACGACAGTGTGTTCCAGTTCCTGCCAATATCCAGCAACTTCGCACAGCCATTGAAGAGGAGTGGACCAACATTCCACAGGCCACAATCAACAACCTGATCAACTCTATGCGAAGGAGATGTGTTGCACTGCGTGAGGCAAATGGTGGTCACACCAGATACTGACTGGTTTTCGGACACCCCCGGACCCCCCAATACAGTAAAACAGTACATTTTAGAGTGGCCTTTTATTGTAGCCAGCCTAAGGCACACCTGTGCAATAAACATGCTGTCTAATCAGCATCTTGATATGCCACACCTGTGAGGCAAAGGAGAAGTGCTCACTAACACAGATTTAGACAGATTTGTGAACAATATTTGAGAGAAATAGGCCTTTTGTGTACATAGAAAAAGTCTTAGATCTTTGAGTTCAGCTCATGAAAAATGGGGGCAAAAACAAAAGTGTTGCGTTTATAATTTTGTTCAGTGTTAATTGAACAGTATAAATTTGCACAGAACTGCCATTTATAACGCACTTCTCCTTGACAGTTGTAAATGCTTCCTGTATCACGATACATCACTGGTCTGGGATAGGGACAAAATCAGTCGTGGCAAAAAAGTGATGGGGACATTCATCCAGGTCACAAAAGTACACACTGATGATGTGGATATTCAGTGACATTTAATTTGTTTTCATTAAGAAAAACTGTGATGCATTCATATATGATATTTATTTGTTTAATTCATCTTTTTTTAGTTGAGAAGAACCTGCAACTTGCCTAAGTGTATTACATAACTTTTTTTGGGGGGGTGGGAAATCTGTCAACCACCTAATAAATGCAGGATTTTATTTGGCTGACAGTGTCAAACATAGTTTAACTGCCTATTTTAATGATTGATTTACTGCTTCCATAATCATTAGAAAATGTACCAACAAATAATTTAATAGGTAACACTTTAGTATTTAGACCAATTGTCATTATTAACTAGTTGCTTATTAGCATGCCTATTATTAACATATTGGCTGTTTATTAGTACTTATAAAGCACATATTCTGCATGACCATATTCTACATATCAATACCTAAACTTAACCAACTACTTTACTAACTATTAATAAGCAGCAAATTAGGAGTTTGAGGCAAAAGTTGCAGTTCTGATTCAGAATCTGCTGGATTTAAAGGTGCTTAAAAGTTGCCTGGAACTGGATGATTTGTTTCACATTTGATAAACTCTACACTGTTTGTGTTTAGATGAGTCAAATGAAGTATGCGCTTGTGTATATTTCAGGGTAGAGATGCAGGAGTTCAGATCGATCCTTGGGAGGATGCAGACTACAGCATATACAGAGTCACAGATCGCTTTGGATTTCTTCAGTAAGTCCTGGTTAAAACCCAACACTTGGTTTCCATATTGGCAGGTGGAGGATGCATTTGTTGCTTTCAAAGCCCTGTAAAACTACTTTTATTTTGTCTGAAACAAAACCGTCAGTCATAATGGCTGACTTTTTTCATTTTGACTTTTACAATTATTTTTATTTTTTATAATTTATCAACATGCATTGTGTATCAGCACATTTAATTATTATATTAAGCAGTCTGATTTTAGAAGTGTGCTATAGCTCTATTTGAACAGAATTGGTGTTCGTTGTCAAGTTTTCTAAGTATTAATTTAAAAAAAAATAAGTTATTCAAGATTCAATAAGATATTCAAGGATGCATTCTTTTAACCAAAATTGACAGTAAAGGCATTTATAAAATCAACAAAAATTCTGTTTCAAATAAATGCTGTTCTGTTCATCAGGGTTTCTGCAAAAATAAGCAAGTAAGTAAATAAACAAATAAAAAATAAGCAACTGTTTTAAAGACTGATAAGAAGAAATATTCATTTATTTTACAATATATTAAATCTGAAGACTAGAGTAACGGCTGCTGGAAATTCAGCTTTGCTGTCAGAGGAATTACATTTTAAAATCTATTCAAATAGAAAACAGTGATTGTAAATTGCAGTGGTTTTTTTTTCTTTTTTTTTTTTTTTCCTGTATT